GAGAGGATATTTGAAGATCAACTTCCTTTAAAATACAAATTCCTAGTCCTTAATGACAATTTTTTGAGTTATGTTATATAAAAATTATGTTCAAAATTCACATCTAGGCTCAGTGGTTCACAAAATAGAAAATGAGCTTAAAAATCACAAAGCAGAACTTTCAAGGGAAAAAATCAGTTTCAAAGCAAAATGCAAGGTAAGATAAAATCGGTTTTTATAACTGAAACCACTTTAAAGGTTAAGAACAGTAGTATAAATAATAATGGTATCACATGCAAACCTGTAGGATCTTTAGAAAGTATTTTGATTTTGGTTATTTTCACAAACTAGAGCATTTAAAATGTAAGTAGATACATTTACACTTAACATATGATATTATGTGTTGCTATAAATTATTTTTAAAAACCTTAAATACTTTTGTCTGTGTTTAAAGACTGGTTCCACCACTTAGCAGCAGTATGACCTTGGACAAGTTATTTAATCTCCTTGTATGTCAATTTCCTCAACTGTAAAACAAAGGTACAATTTACTGCAGTTTGTATCAAATGAGTAAACCAGAACAGTGTCTGGCACAAGGCAGACACTGCATAAGCGTTTACTGTTTTTATTATGAAATGTGTTGAGCAACTTGGGGAGGTAATTTACCTCTGGAAAACTTAGCAGATTTAACGAGGGTAAAAATAAAGATTTTTAGTAATATAGTTTAAGTCAAGCATGGGGGCTCATGTCTGTAATCCCAATGGTTTGGGAGGCTGAGGCAGGAGCACTGTCTGAGGCCAAGAGTTCAACCAGCCTGAGCAACATAGCAAGTCCCAATCCTCACAGAAACAAAAATAAAACATTATCCAGGCATGGTGGTACAGGCCTGTAATCTTAGCTTCTTGGGAGGCTGAGGCAAAAGGATTGCTTGAGCCCCAGAGCTGAGGCTGCAGTGGGCTATTATCAGGCGACTGCACTCCAGCCTGGGTGACCAAACAGCACCCTGTCTCTAAAAAAAATTAAATAAACAAATAAATGTAATACGGGCTGTCCCTTTCATTAACATTTTTTAGTAGATTTTATATATTTCTGGGAGCAAGTTTTCAACTGGATTTTAAACAAAGTTTTAGGGAGATATAACTGATACGCAAATTACACACTGTAAGTACAGTTTGAGAAGTTCTCACATATATAAGCCCTCAAGAAAGTCTCACTACAATCGAGATAGAGAACATATCCACTACCCACAAGTTGCTTCATGCCACTTTGTAATCTTTAACACCTCCCCCACCAGGCAACCACTGATCTGTTTTCTGTTACTATACATTTGTCAACTAATATGTTTAATCAGCAGTTAATGATGGTATGTATTAAATGCATAACTGATAGTGGAAAAAAGTTAAGAACTATAAAAATGTAGCTTATGTTGGTATCTCAAAGGCTGATGGATCTCAGAGTGTGATCTGTGGCGAGTCTGTGGAGACAGAGCTCCAAGGAAGGAACAGTAGACATGGGTAAGGACTGTAGCCATGCACTAGGGTAAGGGAACTCAGGGAAAGTAGGCAGCTTGAGATGGTCAGAGGCTAGCATCAGGGCCTGGAACACAGTAACATTTAGGACAGGGTTTTCAAACTGTGAGTATCTTTTGTCATGAAATCAACAAAAGATATATCCACCAGCATTTAAAAATAGTATACAAACATTAATGTGCTTTATATATAATTTGGGTAAAGGTTCCAATCTTTTCCTGTACCTTTTTAATGAATATATTTAGACAGCTACATGTATACTGGGTTGCAAGGTAAAACATGTATCTGGGTTGTCTTCCAATTAGTTTGAATCTCACCAGTTTATAAAATCAGCACCATTGGCAAGTCATGGTGGCTCACACTTGTAATCCTAGCACTTTGGGCTGAGGCAGGCAGATCACTTGAGGTCAGGACTTGGGAGACCAGCCAACATGGTGAAACCCGGTCTCTACTAAAATTACAAAAAAATCAGCTGGGCGTGGTGGCATGCGCCTGTAGTCTTGACTGAGGCAGAAGAATCACTTGAACTTGGGAGGCAGAGGTTGCAGTGAACTGAGATCATACCCATGCACTCCAGCCTGGGCAACAGAGTGAGACTCTACAATCAGTCAATCAATCAGTCAATCAATAGAGTACCATAGACCAGCAGCTAAAGGGGGACTGGGATAGTGTCCTTTTTCTCATCATTCCCTGAAATTCTGGCACATAACAGGCAGTCAGTAAAGACATACAGCATAAAGAAATGAATCAACAAGCAAGAGAAGAGGAAACCCAGCACTAGGGTTACTCAGAAACTACAGGATAAGAAAAACAGAGAGAAATAACCCAGTGTCAGATGTCAGTGATGTGGCAATACTGAGAGCATGGATGAACGTATCTTTGTAATTCCTATGAATTGGCAGTACCTGAAGCCAGATTATAGAAGTGAATGGGAAGAAAGGAAGTGAAGAAAAGACAAATGATAGTGGAGACTAAGAGGCATCTGTTTGTTTTGTATTGAAGATATGAAAGTTCAGTATGTATTCAGAAGAAGTTACACAGAAAAGGCAGGTTCTAAAAATGTGCTGTCCAGGAAAGGAAACACTAGCTACACAGAGCATTTTTTTTTTTGAGTTGGAGTTTCACTCTTGTTGACCATGCTGGAGTGCAATGGCATGATCTCAGCTCACCACAACCTCTGCCTCTCAGGTTCAAGTGATTCTCCTACCTCAGTTTCCCAAGTAGCTGGGACTGTAGGCATCCGCCACCACACCTGGCTAATTTTTTATTTTTAGTAGAAATGGGGTTTCTCCATGTTGGCCAGGCTGGTCTCAAACTCCCAACATCAGGTGATCCACTGCCTCGGCCTCCCAAAATGCTGGGATTACAAGTGTGAGCCACTGCACCTGGCCTGAACTATTTAAAATAAAATAAAAAATGCAATTCCTTTATCACACTAGCTCCATTTCAAGTTCTAAATGGCCACATGTGTCTACAGACTACCATACTGTGCAGAACTGAGTAACATTTCCTTCTTTGCAGAAAGGTCTTTCGGACAGTGCTGCTCTAGACAAAAGTTTTAATTTCATCATGTTTGTGCTGGCTTCAATAAAGACGTGTAGGTTAAATCAATGCACAGTATTCCCCAATCTCTACTCAAACATTATTCAAACCCAGCAGAAAAAAACTACTGCGGGATTATATTACAATCCATACATGATAGAATCACATTTGGTCTCAGTAGGTGAGAGTTAACCTTGGAAGAGACCAATTCAGACTTTAAAGGGGCTGCTAAAGCTCACGATATGATCTAGGGGTCTGGGCATTGTAAGTATTCATAGTATTTTCCCACCAAAGATCTGTGACAAGTAGCAGCAGTTTGTGATTGCTAAGCATTACACAGAGAAAAGGGGCTTTGGGATGGGGCATAAGAATGACAGGTATTGGAGCATTGCTGAATAAGAAAGCCTGAAGAATTCAGGCTAGGGTGGACAGACATCTTGGGTAAAATGAGGTTATTATAGTGAAATTCTAGTTCTACAAAATTAACGTGACTGGTAGAGAACAAATAAATCATGTTTATCACCTTATATTTAAATTTTATGGTTTTTGTATGGCACCTTAATAACAAAAAGGACTGTGGTAGAAGACTAAGGCATATTATCTATCAGAGCGTCCACTTAGACAATGTTACTGAAGATCCTGACTTACTGAAATTAGAGAAATCACCTTTGTAATTTTAAAAAACCCTCCAATTTAGTGGAAAAATCTGTTTTCAATCACAATCACCTCTTTCAAAGGAATGTATTTTGCTCTGCTCAATTAAAAAAAATTGTTATTCATGGGGTGAAGGGATAGAAGAAATGGACTGAGAACTGTAGAACTCTTGGCACATGACTCCATTCAAACCTCTCAATTACTAAGAGACAAACTTTACATGGCTTGTAGCATATAAGAGCATGTCTCTAGATCAACCTCAGCTCCCCCATTAAAATGCCTGCCTGAGAAATCTCAACGCTATTAGGAGAATTTACTGTTTGTTCTAGCCAACCCCTGATGACAGGCTCCTGACCTACCTTTCTCAGAGCATTTATTAAGGGCTTACAATTACGAATCCTTCCTTCTTTTCTTTAGGGTGTTTATGTGTCTCCTACAACTCAAGAGGTCCTTCTCAAGGACCTGAGAGCCATTCCTCTGAAATGGGATCGTCAGGAAGGGCAGAGCCTCTACCTCCCAATCTCGGCGCAAGAGTAACACTCTAGGCCATGCGCAGTGGCTCACGCCTGTAATCCCAGCATTTTGGGAGGCCTAGACGGGTAGATCACCTGAGGTCAGGAGTTTAAGACCAGCCTGGCCTACTGGCGAAACCCCGTCTCTACTAAAAATACAAAAATTAGCCAGACGTGTTGGCGCATGCCTGTAATCCCAGCTACTCGAGAAGCTGAGGCAGGGGAATCGCTCGAACCGCGGGGGAGGGATGGGGGGCAGAGGTTGCTGTGAGCCAAGATCGCGCCATTGCACTCCAGCCCGGGCAACAAGAGCGAAACTCCGTCTCAAGGTAGCAGACACATCTGGCCGAATCGCATTACCCTCATCAACCTGTAACGTTTCCCTTTTCTGACACTACCGAGCCCTGATCACCTTCCTTGCCCCATTCTCCCTCTGAAATGCCCAGTCACTTCTGTGCACGTCGGAACAGAGGTCAGCTCTTTCCTTGTCTGTAAGCAGTTACTGAACCGAGTTTTTTCACTGCTTTCATGTCTAGCTGGGTTATCTTTAACAGGATCGAAAAGGAAGGGGAATTCGGTCCATTTGCCTTTTCCATCTGCAGGGCAGACTGAGTTGGCTTTGAGGAAGTTACGCCTTCCGTAAAAACGAAACATCCAACCCCGAAGCCCGTCCCCCTGGGCCTGGGCCCTTGCCTCACCAAGCAACACCTCCCGGCGACAACCAGGCCGCTGGTTCCCGGGCCGAGGTAACGACACACACTGCGTGTGACAAACTCCTGCTCACCGAGGGCATCGGAGCCCGGGCGCACCCGGGAATCAACCGCGTTCACGGCATTCACGGTGTAACCGGTGACCCCACCACATGTCGTTCAAGGTGCGAGGTACGGAAGCCTTGAGGACTGGGATTTACCCCTCGGAGCTGTTCGCCGTCCCTGAGGGCTCCGCCGACTTCCCTGGAGTGAGGAAAGTCACTTTTGGAAGCCAACTTTTCCTTCCTCCGCCTGCGAAGTCGGCCGGCACCCGTGCCGCTGTCGTCCCCGCCGCCACGGCCTGAAGTTTACCACTCACTTCCGGCGTCGCGCCCCCCTCCGTCACCAGACCGGAAGTGGCTTCCGGCCGCAGTTGCTGCAGCTCCGTAAAGCAAGATGGCACTGCTCGCTCTGAGTCTGTTATCTCCGTTTTGTTTTTAGTGTTCCTCTTCTCACAGATTTACTCCAGATTTCCATCACGCACCCTGATTTTCTTCAGCACCACATTCTCATGCTTTTCTTTCATTCAGCCTTGGTGGAGGATGGGATGGAGACAACTTGGCCTAGCCTGAGCAAAGCCGGGCACCATTTTGTACGGAAACTGAAGGCAGGGCGGGGGCGTGTGGAGGCCTCCAGAGGAGGCCGGGCTGGAGGCAGAGCGTGGGAGGGAGGGCGTCGTTCCGGTGATGTATTTCCGCTTCTGGTCTGCCCGGTCGTTTTTGGTTGGATCGGCTTGTTGCGGGGAGGGAGGGGGAAGATTGTTTGCAGCCTAGAATCTCCGCGGACGGGAAGGTAAACTGAGGTAAGGCTGTGAAGGGGGCTTTTGCGCATGGCTGTATAGGATGGCCGGGAGTAGGCTACTTGGGACAGCGGAGGAGTGTGGAGTTGGAGACGAGAGGTTGGAGAGAGAAGGTGGGGTGGGGCTGGGGTTTACAGGGTGAATTGCGGCGCCGGGCGGGGGTGCGGGGCGAGCGGGAGACCCCGGGAGGTGGAGGAGTGCCAGGCGTGCAGAGGAAAGTCTCGAAGGCGCTGACCGCGGAGGAGCTGGGACGGGGGAAGAGTAGAATCTAAAGTCCTTGGAGGCTAAGGAAAGAAGTTGGGGTAGGGGCTGGTCGGAAACCATGGGTTGGGGCGCGGTGAGAGTGCACTTTCTGGAAGCCTATAGGGTTGGAAGGGGCTGGTGGCTGCGGTTTTGATGCTAACGTGACCATATACTTGGCCTTTGTTTCTCTGCAGCTCCCCAGAGACGCTCATCCCACAGCCTCAGCTGGGGCCTCGCCTTCTCTCTCCAGCTGCCACCACAGCCTGGAGGCGCCTGCCTCCACCCTCCCGAATGGTGCTCCTCCTAGCAGGCCTCGGCCCAGGATCCAAGCCCCCTTTGCCCCCTGCCCTGGAGCTGTTGCTCCGGGTTTCTCATAGTGGACTCCCTGTGGTGGGAAGGGAAGAACTTTTGCACAGGCAAGGCTTCAGCTCCGGGAACCCCGCTGACAACTGGAATCTCAACCTCTAACCTGGTTTGAGGTTCTTCCCGGGCCACCTTTTCTGCCTTTTGAGAAGAGAAACCCTTCTCCTGGCCGTCTAGAGCCCAGGAAGCCCCGGGCTGGGGCCCTGGGCCCAGCATGTTAGTCCTCTCTTGTGCATAGGGCTCTGCTTTCTCCCTGTCAGCATGGCTGAGCTCAAACAGGTGCAAGGGGGGCGGGAGACCCCACAGGGGGAGCTGCGGCCTGAAGTTGTAGAAGATGAAGTCCCTAGGAGCCCAGTCACAGAAGAGCCAGGAGGAGGTGGAAGCAGCAGTGGCGAAGCCAAATTGTCCCCAAGAGAAGAGGAAGAACTGGATCCTAGAATACAGGTGAGAAGATGAAGAGTGGGGAGAGAAGGAGAGCCCAGATTCCAGCCTTCCTGAAGAGTGTGGGATGAATGAGGGCTTAGACTTACTGTGTCCCCAGTCTGCTGGGGCAGGAAAGGAGAACAAGTTTGTTAGCAAATCATTGCAGGGTAATGTGACAAATTCCAAGAGTTGTGTATCTAATGTGCGGATGGAGTGCAGAGCAAGGCCTGGCCTGAGTGCTTGGGAGGCATTGCTGAAAGATTCACTGAAGGAGCAACGCGTCGCTTAGCTGGAGGAGGGGACGACTGTGGTACTTCTTCTAGATAAGCAGAGGGGCTGCCACCTCACGGATGCTGTGTGAGAGCAGATGACTTCGATATTGGGAGACAGTTTTGAGCTGAGTGAGGGAATCTTTTCCCCTTTCTCACCTTGTCAGCAGTATCTTCCAGGGATGTGCAGACCACATTGCTCTGATAATGTGTTTCACTCTTGTGAAAAGAGTGAGACCTTCCCAGTGTTAAAAAGGTAGCACAGAACTTTAGACCTATAAAGAAATCCCGTATGTTCAAGGAATTGTAACCTTTGTTGTGGCCAGTCCTTAGTCGTATACATACCCAGTCCTCAGGATGGTGGGTCTCCTGAAGGAATGGAAGAGCAGTTTATTGCCTTGGAGTGTCTACAGTCTAGTTGGTAGGACAGGCAGATCTTTGTGTAGGAGACCTGGGGGTAGTCAGTCAGGAAAACCACATGGAAGAGACGCCTGGCCAGTCAAAGCTGGGTTGCAGCGTTTCAGGGATTGGCTGGGAAGGGCTTCCCTGAGGAAGCTGCTTGGGCAGGTGACCACCAGGATGCTCCTGCATGTTTGGGGCCTGAGTCTGTCATTTGGTCTGGTCACATCTCCAAGACTCTGATGTTGAGGAAGTGACTCTTCTATAGGTGAGCAAGAGCATAGGAAGGCTCAAATTCCTAGGCTTCTCTGTCAGCAAACCTTTATTGGATTACTCCAGTGAGTTGGGAAGAAATCAAAGGCAGTCCTGGCATTCTTCCTTCTCTCTCCGTGTGGGTTCCTGGGATATGTGTGTGTATTGGGGGGGGGGGGGTTCCTCTTCTACTGTGTCTGTGCTTATAATGGAGCAGTGGTGAGCCATTCGTTTCTGGCATGAGTCAGTAATTTATTTCTGCTGTGCCTCACAGACATTGCATTGAAAACAGCCAGTATCTCTTGCTAATTCTACAGATGTATCATCCTCTGAGGAAATCAGTTGTAGTGAAAAAAGCCTTGGACTGAGTTTCATGCTACCTCCAACCCCATGATTTATGATTTTTATGGAAATCTCTTTACGTTTCTGAGCCTCAGTTTCTTCATCTGTAAAGTGAGCAGTTGGTTTAGGTGATTTGCACGACTTGTTCTTGCTCTGCTCTGATACATATCTATAGTTCTTTTCGTTCACAAACTCTTTTTGCTTGTTCCTTGGTGATAGTTTGTAGATAGCACTTTGGGAAAGAGCTCTCTCTCTGTGGCCTGCGGAGGAGGGCCGTGAACTGTGCATCACAGGCCTCCCTGCAGCATGCCTTGCCCTGCTCCAGAGGAGGTTGCTCCAGAGGAGAGTCTACTGTGGTCTCTTTATTCGGCCTCTCCTGCTCCTGTGTATTTTTCCAGCAGTCTGCATAGGCAAATGGTGGTGGTAGGAAGAGTCATACTTGCACTGTGCTGTCTAATAGGGTGGACTAGCTGCTTGTGGCTACTTAAACACAACCAATTAAAATTAACATGTAAAAACAGAGTTTCTCAGCCGGACATCGTGGCTCATGCCTGTAATCCCAGCACTTTTGGGAGACTGAGGTGGGAGGATCACCTGAGGTCAGGAGTTTGAGACCAGCCTGGCCAACATGGTGAAATTCCAACTCTACTAAAAATAGAAAAATTAGCTGGGCGTGGTAGTGGGTGTCTGTTGTCCCAGCTACTTGGGAGGCTGAGGCAGGAGAATTGCTTAAACCCGGGAGGCAGAGGTTGCAGTGAGCTGAGATTGTGCCATTGCACTCCAACTGGGGTGATGAGTAAAACTCCATCTCCAAAAAAGAAAAAAGCAGTTTTTCAATGCTATACTGACAGTGTGGAATTAGAACATTCCGTCATCTCGGACACTTCTGTCAGACAAGCTCTGTGAGAGTTGGAATAGACTGAGGTAGCATAAGATTTACTTTGCCTACAGTGAACCTGTTGTGTTACTGGTGCAAGAAGGGTAAACCAGACTCTGGTCTCTCTTGCTAAACAGCACAGCATGTTATAGAATGTTGTGGGTTGTATAGGGAGGAAAGGTCTGGTAATAGCTTCCCTCATTCGATGACACAGGCATGGCTAGGCCAGTGCTCTGACCTCAGCGGGGAGTTAGTGTCTTCTTGCTGTCTGGGAGAGGCTGCCTGGCTCGAGGGCCACCCTTCATGGAGGAGGCTGGTGGCATGTTGCCCTTCTGTGGTTGGGCTTTTCAAGATGAGGAGGAGAGTGGAGTGTTTGTCTTTCGAGGTCCCTTCTCATGTTGACAGTGCACAGAACACATTGCTCGGATCACGTGTTTCAGTGCTTTCACTGGGTGTTCATTTCTCTGGATCTCAGTGCATTTGCCGGGTTTCCATCCACAGATTAATAAAAACCCACCAAGGAGCTTCACAAATACCCTTACCTGAGCCTTGCAGACATGTGGATACTTTTAGTCTGGGTGGGGTGAGAAGGGATTCTAATGTTGCAGTCAGGGCCAAATCCCCTGGGCCCAGTATATCCCAAAGGTAGGGCCCCTGTTTTGGTATTTTCTGAAGCTCCCAGAAACAGCTGTCCTTACGAAGTGGCCCTCTCTGACCTGGGGCTGGGATTCCTTGGCAGGCAGACAGCTCATGGCCATTTGTGGTGGGATTGATTCCTCTGGAAGTTGGAAGGAAGTCGGTTGGTACCTACCTACCTGGAGTGTGCTGTCCCTCCAGGGAAGTCTGCTGGCTGTGTCTCTGTGTCATGATCTTAGTGGAGTTCTTTTGAGTCCTCCAGGCTCATCCTCAGCTTTCTGAGAGGGTTCCAGTAGAGGGAAAGGGGAAAGGAGCGTGGATTTAATGGACCTGCATCTGTTCTGTGACTTCGTCAGCCTCCTTTTAGTTGTTGCATTCTCCCTCAGATGTGAATGCACTCGTTTACCTGCTCCTTTCTAAACTCTCTAGGGTGAGTTTGCAACCTCTGTGACCTCATCTGGAAGTATGGGTTTAGCTTTCACAGGATGGTCACCACCCTGGCCTCAGTTACCATTACTTGAGTCTTTTGATGGTCTGCACTAGATGCAGTGGGAGCATCTGTAGCCTGAGTCCCCATGCCTTGGATTCAGTGTCCTGGCATCCTGGGAATTTGACTGCTGTGCCCCGGGAGGGTCACCCTCCTTGCTGGCTGCTGGCTCATGATGGATGATGCATGCTGACTCAGACTTTGTTGTCCCTG